CGCTCCTGAGGGCCTGCCCCATGAGGTCTCCACGGTCCGGGCCGGTCCCCTCCCTCCCCGGCCGGCCAGCGCTCACAGTCGGCCCCGCGGGGCGCCCCGCAGGCCCGGACTCCGCCGGGCTCCCCGTCCTTGGTCTGCGTGGCTCCGGGTGCAGATATTCTGAGAAAACGCAGGAGAACAGCGCGGACTCGACCCTGCAAACCTCAGGTCAAGCTTAGCACCAGGCTTGGGAACCTCCGGAAAAGCTCCAAAATCCCTTATTTTGCAGGAAGCTCGCTGTGAGGTGATGTGAAGACGTTGTGGTGGTGGGAGGATCCCCTGAGTCAAGGCCGCGTGGGGCCGGGAGTGCAGAGTCGCGCGCAGCTCAGGGACAGTCCTCCTGCGCACGGGTGGCCCTGCACTTCCGGTCCTCCCCGGCAGGCCGTGACCTTCCCTCTCAGCATCCCCTCTTCCCCACTGGCCCTACAGTCCCTACCCGGTGCTCTCCTGCACTTATGCCTGGTCACGTGGATTGGGGTCGCTTGGGAGAGCCATTTCCTGCATCTTTAGGGTGGCTGGCGGGGTCTTAACTTGTTTTCTTCATTGTCGAATTTTCTTCCATTTATTCAATTCCTTAGAGTTGAGAGTTGAAAAGACTAAAGGTATAGCGAAAGGCCCAACATACACATTTTTTGGGGGGGGCGGGAGGTGGGTCTATTTTTTTTTTTTTTTTCTGAATTCCCTGCACAAATTCACACTAGCAAAAGAGGCTTCAGCCTCTTTCCCCCGCCAGGGCCCAGGCCAGCATCTACCCTTAGTAGGTATGCAGTAAATGGTGAAAAGATTACTGGATAGAAAAGATATCTTCTTTAGGCTCATGGTGCTTAGGGCTAGTGGGTGTCTAATCAGCTTGTTGACTGGTGGTGTTTTGTTGAATTCATTTGAGAGACTGATACATGCTTTTTACAATTACTTTGAAATTATTTTAGAGAATTCCCCAAACGTGTTTCAGGAGATTCCTAAGAATTGTTGAAAATATTTTCTTAACTTATTAACTTATGAGGTAAAATGCCATGATTTTTAGAATTTGGGAGTTAACCTTTCTGTAAGACTTTTCCTTCCCATTTTGTTTTCTTTTAATACAATTTTACTTTCCCTGGTAAGAGGTCAAGTCCTTATGAAATGAAGTTCATCTTTATAGCCAATTTGAAGCAGAAGCTAAGAGATTTCTCTTTTGCTTTCCTGCTGCTATATTACATTTAACCTTTGTCAACCTTATGTCTTTTCCATATTGTGTCTCCTGCATCATTCAGCAGTTCTTGTTTTTAAACACCATAAGAACTTTTTGTAACCAGGAGAGAAATTTTAGGGTCGTGAAATTGTAAGACTGAATTCAGTCAGCCAGCATATAGTAAATGCATATTTTACTGAGCACCACTTGTGTAGCCTATAGGCTATCCCCTAGGTCATTTTATGTCCTGCTTTTGTTGATTGTAAAATAGTGAAATCATATAACCAATGAGCCAATAACCGTGAAAGTAATTTGAAAGGTTATAATTGCTAATCAAATGTAAAGCATATTTATTAGCATCGTTATTAAAAGATGCCAGAGGGATACGAATAAAACCTGTTCCTATCCTCTGGGAACTTACAATCTAGTTGGGCATAAATAATGAAATGTAAATTGAAAGAAACAGCCACTAAGCAATGTTCAGTGTCTGGCATATTGAAGACATTCAGTAAATGATTGCCTCACATTAATTTGCAGTCATGTCATTCCTTTAACAGAAATATAATACTGATAAGTAAAGGAAGGATTAATTAAGACAACTTTAATGGAGAAAACAAATTTATCCTTTTTATATCATATATGGAGACTGGGCTATGTAAGCGATTTGTGTGTGAAGGATAACGGTGGTCAAATTAGAAAATGATAAAGATGTTTGATTAGAGGGAGTTCAATAGTAAATTGTAGAAAATCTTAAAGATCATGCAGTGGAGTTTATGTTTAATAGAAAAAAATTAAAGAACTGTGGTGGCCCTTTGAGCAAAGGATGTATGTTTAATGTTGAAATTTATTTTAAAAATGATTCTATCTAGCTCCTGGATATACAGAAAATTGAGAGAAAAGGAGTAGGAGGAAATATTTTGGTACAGTTCTGGAACATGATATTGCTAGAGAGGGGTTATAGTTAGAGCCATCATCCGGTTTCTTCCCTCAATTTATAGACAGTGGAAATAATATTGAAACAATGAACTTGGAAATGAGTGTTAAATGGAACAAAAGTCCCAGTACTACTGAAATGGGTACTACCTCCTTATTCTTCATTATTCATAGTGTTAGGGGATGCTAGATAAAGACTTTTTTTTTTTTTTTGTATTTAGCTAATCTACCTATATTCAGTTGAAGGGGTTTTTAACTGGGGGTGATATTGCCCTCCTACCCCACCCTCTGTGGACATCTTAGCAATGTCTGCAGAAATTTATAGTTCTAGCAATTCTTTTTCCACTACTGGCATCTAGTAGGTACAGCATGGGGATACTGCTAAACACCCTACATTTCACAGGCTAGCTCCCTGAAACTTCATATTTTCCTGTCCAACATGTCAATAGTGCTGAGGTTGAAACCCTCTGAGAATGAAACATGATCTCTAACTCTGGAAAGGTACCCACTATGAGACCCAGGACCTAACTTCTATTATGACAACAATTTCAATTGAAAAAACGTTTTGCTTAGTGAGACAGATGTAACTCCAAAGATGGGTATATCCCTGCCTAGCTCTGAGGCCTTAGAAACAGGAAAATCAGAAGGGTACCTGCTTTGTATTTTCTACTTCTTTTACAGTGGAGTTCGAAATCATCCTTAAGGATTTGTCATCTAAATGTTATTTATTAAATTAATAAAATGTGCCTTTGGAGTTGCTTAGCAACTTATGGAGAGCTTTCTAAAAGTTCATTTGTTTGTTTAAAACCAGGGTAGGTTGCATATTATTAGCTACATTACATAAATCAACAAAGAAATGTACACTGAAAATGGAATAAGATGTTTCAACACATTTTCTGCTCTCCGTGTCTGGCAATTAAAACACTCTAATTGTCTGGTAGAATTGCATCAAGTATTCGACAAACATTATTTATGTATGAAACTTCAACATAATATTGAGTATGTAAGAGAACCAAAGGGGAAAAATTAAGCAGGTTTGTCATAAAGTATATGTTTATCTTAACCTTTCTTCTTCAAAAATCTTATCTACTAAGTACTTTTATCAGACACTAATTATACTCTTTCTGAAAAGAATTTCTCCAACACCCTTCACTGCCTGCACCCTTTAATCATATCTCATTACATCTACCTAATCCATATCTTTTTCACATTGCCAGGGCTCATTAACAGTTTTAAAAGCCAATCTTGGACATTATCATTTCTTGCAATCGAGATGAAAATAATGCCAATAATATTTTATTTCTAAAATGTAATGGATTATTTAAATTTTGTTCTGAAGCCATTTGTTCTTTAAATATTAACAAGAAATTAGCTTCCAGACAAACATGAAGCTAGCAGGCCTGGTAAGATGTGTCTGAAACCCTTGAAGCACTTTTTGAAGAAGTTATTTTTGTGAGCGTTTTAAACAGTGGATCATCAGTCACTTTGAAGGGAAGTGATCCTTGATTAACAGTTGGCTGATATTGCACTTCCACAGATGTGTGGCAGCAATACAGGTGCAACCTGTGAAACAGGACAGGTAATTTTCAGGCTCTAAGTATGTTTTTCACTTTAAAAAATGTGCAAGATTAAATGGACCATCATCTTTGTGTATTACTGCCATTAAATTGTTGTAGACAAACGTCCCACTCAAATAATAAACAACAGGGATTTATCTCCCCTAACTTTAAAGAAAAGATTGTAGGTTTGGCTGATCCTTTATTCTTTTTGATTTTCTGTTTGTAGAAAAAATAAAACCCTCATCAAATTTGCAGTTACATGACCAAAATAGGTGCTCGTGGTAGTAACTTTGTAGGACTTGAAAGTCAAATGCTGTCTCAGAATATAACTACATAGGACTAAGAAGGTGTTCTCTAAAACCAAGCTTCTTCCACTATAACAAACAAGCTTGAGGTGATTTCTTGAAATAATCATTTTAAACTCTTAGGAATGTTTAATGGTCTACTATTTTATTTATTATTCACATACCATTAAATTATAGTTTTTGGAAATAAAACAATGAACCAAAAGTGACTATCCAAAAGTACAGCTTTTGAACCAGTATTCAGAGCTGTTACTTAGTAGCAGTAGAGACACAAGGAAATTTTCATTCCTCTTTGATTTTTCCCCATTCATTCATTCATTCTACTACATAGTTATTATATCTTATTATGGGTGGAATATGTAGATTTTTTAAAAAATATTTTTCTTCATTAATATGGTTTGGCTTGTTACTGTTACTAAATAAAAGCAAGTGAAAACATGATAGTAGGTGAGTTTGCTTTTCCATGTCTCATATTTTGCAGTTGTACAACTTCTAAGATTTGAATGGTGTTAGATAATTAAATTTTAATGTCTATAATATACATCCACCCCAATCACTCTTTTAGCCATTTTTCTTTTAAATTCCTTTAATTTCTTTAGTCATCAGATTTGTGTATGTTTGTATGTGGGAGGTAAACTTTGTATATGCTCGATTATACATAAAAAGTTGTTCACATGTGTTCTTTTTTTTTTTTTGCTTTATTTAATGTAGCTTGGGTATTCAGGTTTTACCAAATTTTTACAGGAACACAATAGCCATTGTATATCCCAGTGGCATTTTCTCATTTGTTATCAATTAAATGGATTTTTGAAAAAAAAACTTAACAATGTACTGAAATATCACAATTAAAATGTTATACAGTATTAATTGTACTTTAACAATTATTTTTGCTTTTTGTAATCCTGTTGATGTCTGTGTCTCTCTATACTTATTAAGAAATTTTACCTCTACTGATTGTCCATTTTCTTGTTCTTTTCATGTTGTTACTTTCAGACTTTTTTTTTTTTATCGGTCTGTACAACGAAGGTTGCCATGGTCTTCTACTTCGCATCCAAGGATATCTACTCAAGGATATGCTGATATCAAACCAGTTTCCAAGCAGAAAATTCATCTTGGAGGAAGATATTTTTCAAGAAAAAGTTACTTCAGCAGTTTAAAAAAATTTTTTTGGATGGTAGTAGTGGGTATCAAACCCATGGCCTCTTGTATGCCAGGCAAGCACTCTACCACTGAGCCATATCCCCAAACATTCCAGCATTCTTTTAAAAAATATTTTCTCCTATAGTATCCTCCAGACTCTAAACTAATAGTAGGTTTCTTAAGTTCATCCAGATCTCTCCTCCATGTCAGAATATTCAGAATACTCTGTGTGTGTGTGTGTGTGTGTGTGTGTGTGTGTGTGTGTGTGTATGTGTGTTTGGGGGAGTATACTAGGGATTAAAACCAGGAACATTCCCCACTTCTTTTATTTTGAGACAGTCTTGCTGTGTTGTCCAGGCTGGCCTCAAACTTGCAGTCCTCCTGCCTCAACCTCCCCAGTAATTAGAAATTACAGGTGTTCATGGTGTGTCTGGCCATGTCTGTATTCTTGGTCATTTTGCTACCTTCTGGCTCCAAAGATAAAGAAGAAATAATAATAAATGAATAAAAATCGTTTGTTCCTGTCTCAGTGAATCATTCCAGTCTGGAAGCACTCTGGTGGATTAATTAACTTTATTGTTACATTTACTAGCCCACACTTATTTGTGGGAAAGTGCTCCTCTTGGCATTTTCTTAGTTGGTGGAAGGAACACTAGGACTATGACATTGGACTTCACTCTTTAAGTTCATGGTTCTGTGGCAGCACAAAACTTGAACAAAACTTACTTTTTTCATTTATAGGCTGGAAGTACTACAGCACCATCTTTTCCTGATGTTATATTCTAGCTTTTATTTATTCTTGGCCACACTTCTTTCCTGAGCAAGAGTTCTTGCTTAACATGGGGGTTGGGATTGGTAACCCTATAAAGAAACTTGGTACCTCTTATATGGGAAGTTTGAAGAGCTTATCCTAGCAATTAAATTGGCGTTAAGATGGTTAATTGAATCCTGTGGATATAGTGCTCTTATCCCAAGTGAAGAAAATGAAAACATTTCTTTATGTTATTATATACTCCCACTCAATTTTCGTAAGTAGGACTTTCTAGTGTACATTATCTTATCCTGGAATGAATTATTTCAGTTCTTGTAGTCTCTTACAGATTTATAAGGAGTATGGTACCAAGGAGAAATTTGAAAGAAAGAAAGCACAAGATGAGATTGTCTTTTGTTAAACTTCAAAATCAACACAAAACAAATTTAAAAAAATGTGCAAAGTTATCTTTTATTAGAATATTTAATGAATTTTATTATGATAACTGCAATATTTTAATTTTCCTTCAGTTTCTTATGTTTCCTCTTCCTTTGAATTAAAAAAAATTTAGTTATATTCAATATTAGAATACACCCTGACATAGTCACAAAAGCATGGAACACAACCCACTGCAGTTCAGTCCCTGGCACTACCTACCTCCTTGCCTTCCACCAACCTTTCATATGTCCATGCATGAATGTGGCACTGTGGGTCCGGAAATCAGGTGTATCTACAGAACACTATTTTTTAAAAAAAGCAAAACTATCTTAACAGATTAATTACTCCCAAGCAGAGCTTGATTTAAACTAATTGAAAGTATTAATACATTGACAGAAAAAAAAATTAGCCATGAAAACAGATAAGGGAAAGTTAGAAGCAAGTAGGAAAAAACCTAATCAAATATGGCTCAGAGATGAGGAAGGGAACTCCATTTCATTGGACTTCAGTTCCTTTTACAAGGCCAATCCTATTGTGAATGAATATCAGGCAATTTAAACTAATTATTCTATCCATAAAATATTTTCATTGTGAATTCATGGGTTTTTTTTCAGGAAATCTGATTATTATTTGAATTACTTAGAAAAGAAAATAATTATAAAAATTTCAAGTATACTATTTATAATTGTAGTACCTTTAAGTGAGCAATGTCCTAAGCTTTCCATGAAGTTTTTCTTTCACTTAAATTGTTTGTAATAAAAGGATAATTTGATTCTGGATCAAAATATTAATGATTTCTTTACTATGTGTATTTTTGATGGATAATTTTTTGGCAAGTCCATAAAAATCAGGATGTAGAGGTTTAGTATGAAGCAGATTCAAATAATGTTTGCCAAGTTCAGCCCTTCCTGTCAGCTTTTCCTGTCACATAAAAAGATTCAAATGCAACTGTATGATTCTATTTGTGACAGGATAGTAGTTGAGGTAAATTACCATTGCTCAAACAAAAATTTGTTGGAACCAAATATTACCCAGTATTAAAATTTTGCATTTAAAGATGGGCATGGAATAAAAAAAAACATTTAAATCCTAGATTCACTTCTTATTGATTATCTCTGAGATCATTTTAACTTTTATAGGTATCAATTTCCTCTCTAAATTGAAAATATTATTAAAATACTCATATAGGAAATTAAATGAGATAATTCACATAAAGCACTTAGCACTATGCCCTGAGTATATTAGGACAGACAAATCAATACCACAGTGACATATTATCTCACCCCAGTTAAAATGGTAGTTATCAAAAAGACAAAGGTAAAAAATGCTAGAAAAGTAAAAAATAACAAATACTAATAAGAATGGAATTAAGGTGAACACTCAAACACTGTTGGTGGGAATTTAGACTATTACAATCATTATGGAAAACAGTATAGGGGTTTCTCAAAAAACTAGACCTAGAACTGCCATTGATCGAACAATCCCACTATTGGGTGTATATTCAAAATAACTGAAATCAGTATGCAGAAAAAACAGCTCTACTCACATTTTCATTGCAGCATTATTCATAATAACCAAGATATGGGATCAACATATGTGCCTATCAATAGATGAATGGATAAAAGAAATGTGTTTCACAGGTATCTATACATAAAATACACACACACACACACACACACACACACACACCACACAATGAAATATTATCCAGCCATGTAAAAGGATAAAATTCTGTCATTTGCAGCAACATGGATAGAAACAGATATTATATTAAGTAAGGTAAATCAGATACAGAAAGACAATTGCTGCATGTCATGGTTTATATGTGGAATCCAGAAAAGTTCATCTCATAGAAGTAGAGAGTAAAATATAGGTTACCAGAGCTTGAGAAGGTGTATGGGTGGGGGGATAGAGAAAGAATAGAAAACAGATTGAAAGGTACAATTGGATAAGAGGAACAACTTCTAATATTCTCTAGCACCACAGGATAACTATGATTGACAACAATTAATTGTATGTTTCAAAATAGCTAGTAGAGATTATTTTGAATGTTCCCAACACAAAGAAATGATGAAGTCTGAGGTGATAGATATGCCAATTACCCTGATTTGATCATTACATATTGTATCCATGTAGTGAAATGTCACAGTGTACACTATATATCTTTACAATTACTATATGTCAATTAAAAATAAAAATACATTATAAAAGAAATCAACAGAAAATAATGCCTTAGTCATTTACTACTAAGAGGGAATATTATCATAAGATGGTATAGATTCAGGATATGATTGGGGAAACAGGACTTTGACCGGTTCCATTTGAATATTTGAGATCCTGCAGTTTCTAAAAGCTCTTCCCACTCTTACATATTCAGTACAATTGCCACCTTTGCTTTGCTTTGAAATCTAGATTTTATTTTTATCCCTTATACATTTTTATTATTTATATTGGAGGAATTAATTAATGACTGAAGAATATCCTAGCTTCCTTCAATCTTAGTAGCTTAATAATACCAGTTTGGATGGCATGTGGGGGTACTCTGGGTCTTTGCTCCAGTCAGTCCCATTCAGTCAAACAGGAACCTAGGAGTGGCTCTGCCTTTTTTTAGGACATTGGGCTATTTCACTGCATACTCTACTTAAAGGTAGGGAGGAAGAAAGTTTATTGTGGATCCTATAAAATAAACCCTAATCCTATCAACCTGAAGTTAGTCACATTTCCCAATTTAACTGCAGGGAAGGCTTAGGAATGTTATACAGATGTGTATTTAGGAGGAAAAAGAAATGAATTTGTTGAATACATGGCACTACCTCTGTTTTTGCCAACCAACCAAACACAGCCACGGAGAAAACTAAGTCTTAAGAGTCTTCTCTAAATTTTCATTAACTATGAAAGATGGGTAAGAATACTTGGTTATACATTCATTTGCACATTATTTTATAGAGCAGTACATCTTACATTAGAAAGACTTTGTCCGCAGGGATAGGAGTTAGGAAGGGTTTCTACTATCTTCGGATAACTTTGTTCCATAGGAATTCTCTCAGTAACTTTGTGTGAAGCATTTATCCTACTTCGTTTCTACTTACAGCTCATATATGTGAAAGAGATATCTTCAAATGAGCATTTTCCCTGCTTTTATCATCAAGTGTCATTATCCCAACATTCTTTTATTATAGTTGTTATTGAGAGCATACTTTCAGATTTAGCATGGAGATTAACTGTAAAATAAGTAAATAGCAAATTGTTTTGTTGGAATGAAGTATAAAAGTCAATGCTTTTAAGGGACTCTTTTTTTTCATTGTTAACTGCTATTTCAAAGTGACTACAATCTCAAAAGGAAGCAGATTGACAACCTCAGATCTAAGAATTTTTTTTTCTATGAAGAATTGCTGTGATAGTAAACTTTACACAGAGTGTAAACTTTGCTATGATACTCCAAACTATGACTTTCTATATATATATATATATATAAAAAGTTCCACTTCACCAATGAGAGAATTCCCTATACTAGAACCCATCCAATACATGGATTCTCAGGGTTTCTCCAAATAATACTTTTAATGTTTTCATCAAGTTTAAGGACATAGATCCCAATTTTTGTTTGTTTTACACTTTACTCAAGAAATTGCAATTAATCACGAATATCATTCCAGACCATACAATCTGCATACCAATAATCTGTTTGAGACTGACTGTGTAATATAATGGTTTCCTTTCTACTGAGTTTTTTTAATTATAGTAATACTATTTCACAGGGAATCAATATTTAAGTCATTTTCTCTTAATTAATATGTATATGTGAAAATGTTATTATACTTTGAAATTTTTATTAGAGATCAAACTATCTTTTACCCATGTTTCATTAAAAGAAAGATTTGTGATACTCATTAGGATCCATTTTAAGTGACAGTTTTAATTATTAAGTAAAATTAAAGATTGACATTCTTTATTAATTAGATGTCAGAAACCAATGTCCAGCGGGCTGGGGTTCTGGCTCAGTGGTAGAGCACTTGCTTCCTATGTGTGAGGCACTGGGTTCGATTCTCAGCACTGCATATAGATAAATTATTCAAATAAAGGTCCACCAACAACTAAAATAATTTTTTAACAATTCAGTGTTCAGGGGCTGGGATTGTGACTCAGCGGTAGAGCACTTGCCTAGCACATGAGAGGCCGTGGGTTCGATCCTCAGCACCACATAAAAATAAATAAATAAAAATATTATGTCCAACCAAAAAATAAATATTAAAAAAATTCAGTGTCCTTAATTTCATCACTTCTATAATTGGAAATGCATATTAATTTTTGAGCAATTTGTGGGAGA